GGGTCTCTCGGAGGACTTGGCAAATTAACGTCCTACCTCAACAAAAATATTCAGACCCTATTATTAAATAGGAAATTTACCAGGAATTTATTACTCCGTAAAATGCATTTCATGCATAAAAGAAGTCTACAAAAGGTGGTGCATAATGATCCCATTTTGCTGACGAGTTGCTAAATTTTTAATAATCATTGGATTACGATCTCTTCATCTACTTTTGAAGCATCAGATTCGAATGCTTGCGATTTAATTTTCTTTTCCGTTTTAACGTCTCAAATTGAAGATTACGCCAGATTAAGTTGAAATTTCGATTCAAACTCAAAACCTGAAGCTCCAAATGAGTATGTAGTCAACATTTTATTCGTGAAGGTTTTCTAACTACCGTTTTTTGTTGTACGCAATTTGTGTTCCAAAATATCTAATTCAGTTATTGTTTTCCAATTTGTGACAAAGCCATAAATAATGCGAAATTTGTCTCTCTCATCCTTGCGGTTATATTACTTACTTTTATTTATTTATGTTCACCAGCAGACGTTGGCAAAACACGTTGAGCTCATATGGAGCCATCTTCTACACTGCGCTTCATAAGCGTACAGCAAGAGAAAATCAGATCCCTGGTATGGGAGGTGACCTCTTCTGTAAACTCGTTTCTCAGCCGATGTTGCTTCAGCGTTTCCTTTGCTTGGCATTTTGTCCATAAATGTTGAAGTTTACGAGGTCTCGTGTCCAGTAAGTCAAGTCACGACGATCACAGCAAAGATTATTTTTCATCTCGCCCACGAAACCTCCCTTGCCGATGCCTGCGTCGCGGCTGAAAGCTTTTATCGATCTTGAACTGCTGGAATTTGTCTGGAATTTCTTGATTTGGAGCACGAAAAAGTGAGGGATAATTTTTTAAATGATTAAATATTAGATCATTCTATATTAAACATACTTAATCATTTTTGTACTTGTATTTTTGCGAACAAAATGCAGATTTATTCAGAATTGCCGCACAGGCAATTCAACAGCACAAAAAAAAACAGAAAAAACACAAAAAAAATCTCGATCAGCATAGCGCACATGGGCGAACTTTTGTTGCTTGTGGAGTTTTTGTGAGGCGGAAAACGCGAGCGTTGAGTTTACCTGGACCATCCATCCAAGAAATCGCCATCAAACTGTTAGCCATATATTTTGACGGCCTTTGACAGATATTACTTGTACTTCTTACTTTTACTCACTTTAAACGTATCGGCTCATTTGATAGAGCATGGATGTATGTGAGATGATTTTCTTGCTGTTTCTTTAATATTTTTGCTACATTTAGCAATAATGAATGAATTTGCAACTACTGTCTGCCACTTTTTGGTAACCAAATTGTAATGTAGTACGCAAATTTCCCACCACTGACAATCAAACCGCTAAGATTAAGCGCGACCAGCTTTGACGTGGTCGTTGAATTTGTGGTAGCTGTAAGTTAAGCTGCTGATCTCGACTGGCGTACTGGTTCCTCTCTTATCGGATGTTGACTCCGACACCAGGGTGTGTCGTTGCGTGCAATAGTGGTGAAATTTAAATGCTATTTGAAATACCGTGATTATTAGTGAACTTATACAATGGTTATGCGTAGGTTTACTCTTGTTTTCTGTTTTAGGGTCGTACGCTTAATCTCGTAAACTCCTTGTTCTAGCTCTCTCTCCGCGCATTGGATTTATTTAGGTCTCGCATCCTATTTGCAAGTATTCGTTTGTTGTTTCCGATTTCTTAATTTGATTGGTATTTATTTCTGCATCCATTTGTAAAGATCATTCTTTCTGATTTCTTATGCTATTATTTCCTGTTCATCGTCAATACATTAAATAAGCTTGGATTGGTGTTTCAATCCGTCTAGCCAAGCATTGCTCATTAAAACCAACAAGGGAGTGCATTACAATTCCCGGTCATTAATGGTGGGCGTGACAAGACCATCCGAACTTTGGAAGTGACGCGACGGGTAATTGAGATATCTAAGGTGACGCGGAATTGTTCACGTTAATTCAACTTGGTATTCAATTTCAATTACTAGCTATTGCGGTAAATTTCAAGATGTCACTAGACTCAACATTTATTACGGGCGAGAAAAACTTAAGATTTGAGGGACAAGAATTGCGCGATTATGTTCAGGAACGTAAAGTAGAATACCGTATATCCAAAGAGGAAGTGCGCGAGTTGCGTAAATTAGAATTAACGCGGGAAGGAGCGAGAGAGAGAGAGAGAGAGAGAGAGAGAGAGAGAGCTGAGCAGGAGATTGAGAGAGAGAAGCGATTTCACGAACGAGAACTGCGAACGTTCGAGCTGGAGAATCTCAAACTGCAGGACGAGCGGCAGGCACGTGAAGCTCCAATCCGATGAACTCCAATTCAATGAACTCTTCTGGAGGCCGATCTGTCATAAAGTTGGCCGGCTATGAGGATGGAGAAGACGTCTCGATTTATTTAAATACTTTAGAGAATGTGAAAGAAGCCAATCAGTGGAGCGATACCATCGCAATTACGGCCTTGTTAAATGGTTTCGCTAACACCAAGGTCGTTCGTTCTCTGCGGCAAGATTAAATGCGGCAAGTTGAAATGCGTCAAGACGAGATGCGTCAAGATGAGAAGCGTCAAGACGAGATGCGTCAAGACGAGATGCGTCAAGACGAGATGCGTCAAGACGAGATGTGTCAAGACGAGATGCGTCAAGATGAGAAGCGTCAAGATGAGAAGCGTCAAGACGAGATGCTTCAACCCGAGGTGCGTCAAGACGAGATGCGTCAAGATGAGACTCGTCATGACGTGATGCGTCAAAACGTGATGCGTCAAGATTTAATGCGTCAAAATTAAATGCGTCAAGAACATGCGTCAAAATTTGATTTTGATTAAATTGATTAAATGCGTCAAGATTAAGTGCGTCCAGATTACATGCGTCAAGATTAAATGCGTCATGATTACATGCGTCAAGATGAAATGCATCAAGATTAAATGCGTCATGATTACATGCGTCAAGATGAAATGCATCAAGATTAAATGCGTTTCGATTAAATGCGTCGAAATAAAATGCGTCAAGATTAAATGCGTCAAGATTAAATGCGTCTCGATTAAATGCGTCACGATTAAATGCGTCACGATTAAATGCGTCAAGATTAAATGCGTCAAGATTGAATGCGTCAAGATTAAATGTGTCAAGATTAAATGTGTAAAGATTAAATGCGTCAAGATTAAATGTGTCAAGATTAAATGTGTCAAGATTAAATGTGTCAAGATTAAATGTGTCAAGATTAAATGTGTCAAGATTAAATGCGTCGATATTAAATGCGTCGAGATTAAATGTGTCGAGATTAAATGCGTCAAGATGAAATAGATTCCCATATGTTGTACAATCTATTTTTTCAAATATTTCAACTGATTGCGTCAATTGCATCTAATTCACTGCAATATTAACGCATTATAGGTAACGCATGATACGTCGAACCATACGTTGTGCTGGTAAGCATACGTCATCCACCTCACGCTACGTCGGCTCCTTCTTTGAACGAAATTTGGCGGGGTTTGGGCATCTTTAGAAGCAATATTTAAGATACTCGGCTCGGATGCACGGCTAAATGGAATAACAGTTTTTAATTGGAATAAAATTTTCTACTTTTCCGCCATAATTTTCGTTGGATGGGTTTCATGGATGAAGTTGGTTTAGGTTAGTCTTCCCGCCGATAAAGAGTTTTAATGCTGCGCATGCAAGTGCAACGGTGTGTTGTTCAACTAATTAGTCAATTGATGATTGCATATTATAAAAAAAAAGCATTAGAATTAGTTTCATTTTAAAATCACCGATTCTTTTTCAACGCTTTTTATGCCTAGTGGAAGCTACTGCACCATTTCCCTCACTTCCATCTGGAAGTTACTGCACCATTTCATTTATTTATTATTATTCTTTTTCGCTTACCTACCAGAATAATAGTGTTCATTTGATGGTCAATAGTTATTTAAACATTCTCACTGTACAGTTGTCTTCACTTGCCTTCGTATTACGTTTTGATAAATGATTAGCATGAGCATCCATCATAACAAATGAAAAAGCGTGCCTTACTCGGTTGCTTCGTCAGGCAGTGACAAGTAACCCACATGTAGAACAGCCTCCCTGAGAACATCGTTGGCGCTCAGAGTATGAACGCGTTCATGAACAAATTAGATAAAGCTATGGAAAAATATATGTTCAGACTTGAAATGCCTACCACGGTATCGAACCCGGTGGAAGTCTAGCAGCTATTTCAAAATTTCGTGTTTTGGAAAGATCCGGTCAAATGACACGATTTTAGATCTTCTGTGAACAAGTCACGAAAAGTTCAAGAATCGGCGATAGGCCACATCAGGCCTACTTTTTAGCGCCGACATCACTATGTTATGTTATGTCATGTTAAGTGAAGCAATGGCACAATTCAAGGTTCATTGCCTCTTACACCTTCGTCCTCTGTCAGCTCAAGCATAATTTTTGGCTTCTGTTTGGTTGGCTTGAATCGTCTCCTATGAATCGACGATTTGAGTATTTATCCAGTCAAAAGCTTTAACATGAAATTGCCTTTGAATAATACGTGCTTAACTGATATATTTGTAAAAAACTTTTTAATTTCATTTCTGTTATTCAGATTGTCTTTCATTCTAGCAGAAGCAGTTCTCTCAATTTTATCACTATTTTGTCAATATGAACACGACTTACTTGTGAAATTAAGTGCCAGTTCTCCATTTCAGCGGTAAAACGTACGTTAAAATGATAACAGGGTCAGTTGAAAATTTTTCGCTAATTTTTTGTAAATACATGCATATTCTGCAGGCATATTAGAGAGAGCGCAACTCGTATTCTCCATCACAAGAAATGACGTCTGGCCTCGACGGTTGTTGCGTCACCGACGTTTTTCTAAGCTGGTCACATGAATCGGTTCGTGACGCTCACGCGACGTGTTCGTATTTACGCATGTACAAATCATTTCATGCAGTAGCGTGTCCGAGTCTGGACGTACAGGCTTGCTAGCGTTCTGACCAATACGCGTGACAAATATAAGCAAATATTCTAGAGAAAAAATGATAAAATTGAGTTAAAAGTTTGTGTGTTTGCGTGAGAGATGATTTTTCGTCATCTTCTCATCAATGCCGCATCCTGCGCAGCTCTAATTGTCGTTGGATTTATTTTCCGCGATACTGGTGAGTTCTTGCGAATAGAAATTGAGCAAATTTTTGACACATTTTCCATCATGACATGGAAAATAAATTGATTGATATTGTGGAATTATTTACATATTAATTTTTGATTTCTGAAACTATAAGAATACATTGAACTTTGAAATTACTAACAATTTCTAATTCTAGTGATAATTGAATCTATGGAATGGTTTAGATATAGCGATTACTGAAATTATTACAACTTCAATATTAGTTGGTGTATATGATATTTATTCGCGGATAAGTAGAACAAAATATTTCTTTCGATATCGAAATTTCAGAATACTTGGTATTTTTCCGTAATCAGAACAGGTAAATTCTTTCTGAGCTGATTTCTCATTTTGTTGTTACATGAGAGGAAAAATATCTCTTCAGTCTCAACTGGTTTACTTCTAGTCACATTAACATATATGATAGCACTAAAATTTGAGGAGTTCGTAGTATTTGAAAAGATGACAATCGTTTTGTGCCCTAAGAACTCTATTGATGTTTTCTAAGAGTGCGCCTTGCAGCAGCACTACAGTCGCGGCCAAGCATCAAGCCGTCTCGTCCAACCGTCTACTGTTGATCCGTTGGAAGCGACTTCGGGTGCCCTCGGTCATTCAAGGCTCACTCAAACGCAAGGAATAAGTCAACTTGTGAGGGGGAAAAAGAATTATCTCTCAACCACCGGCCACCGTGTGCAGGCTCATGAATGGGAGGACGCTGGAGACAGATGGAAGATGGAAATGTTGAAACTTTTGTGGCCCGAAATCTCGTTCACGAATGGAACAACCCATTCCCGTTCAAACGAAACCACTAATTCACTGCTTTCCGGAAATGTTTCTTCAGATATCAAGATGGGACGTAAACCTTCACTTTCTAAACTTGATGCGCTTAACATTTTTGTACCTTCCATACCAGACCAGATGCCAAGAGTGAATCGAATTCTATTCCCCAGTTCCTTTTCTACTTATAGTCCGAGTTTTATCGAGGTGGCTAAATTCTTTAGAAGCCCTTTTGGCTCATCTGAACAAAATTTTATTGATTCTTCATTACTACCAGCCGAACACCGTTCTCTGAAAAATGCACAGCCACATTCGACTGCTCTTAACAACAATATTCTAGATGCTGATTTTCTATCAGGACTTGGGACATCGCCTCAAGAATCTCTTGAAAATCCACCGTTTTTGGCCAACAGTAATGACAATCCATCAATAAGAGTTAATGCTTCTTCCATCGCACATCTGCTAAACATCCTAGAGAACCCTGAAGAAATTGAATCGCTCGAACATTCACCTTCCGATAACACTTCTTTTGCTTCGGATCCAACGAGAAATAATTTTAGACCAACTCCAGTTCCACCAGTCATAAATAACTTGAATAGTATCCCAAGAAAAGACATAGAAAACGATATTTCGGTGTTCAGAGAAAATGTTACTCGCTTGAAAGAGTACCCTAGTGCGGTTGACGCCTTTACAACTATCCTGAAAAATTTGGGATTGGCTTTGGACGTGGCAAACCCAGAATTTGACGTATTCAATCCAAGAACTCCATTAGCTTTCCAAACTGAAGTTGGAGCAAAATGCATAACTTCTGACGCAAAGGAAGTGCAGGGTTAGTAAGCAACAAGCTCATTTTTAACATATTTAGTTGAAAGTTAGCTGATATCCATAGTTTATTAATGGACCTAGGAGCAATTAATGCTACATTAGTAACTTTACTAACTTAACATATCCGAAGATCGGTCATGGAATTTGCAATGATTATTTCACCAACATAATAACTCCAGCAGGAGGACTTCCAAGTTCTAAGGCGAGGCAGCCGTGGCTTGCCTAATTTTTTATCGTTTTTCCAATTGACTATTGAATTTTATTTCTTTACCTTGAAAATTCTTATTGAATTTTATTTCTTTACCTGTCCAAAAATGTAAGTATATTTGAATTCACATCAAAAGTTCGTGAAAAATGTATATAAACCAATGTCTCAATTTGCATCTAATGCTCGTGTCCATATAAACTAAATTTCACAGATTGTAAAAAATATCTAATTATACCTTCTTTGATATTCAATGTCTCTCACAGGCGTGTGTTTGCCACTAGAAGAATGTCCAGCACTTCAACCCTTCGCTGCTCAGACAGAGCATCTTCACGCGACGGTCTACCTCTACAGCAACATTTGCCGGTACTCGATGCCATTACTTTAAGCCTAAGGCGTTGTTTCAAATGTTTGTGTACCGTTTACAATCCGGTTATCGCGAGTCTTTACTATGATCAATTGATATATTTCATCGACTAATTGGATGATGCAAACTTAATTAAATTTAAAAATCTGATCAATAATGGCATTTAAATGCTGGCTTGTAATGGCCACGAAAGGCAGAAGCAACTTCGCATAATTGGGTATTTACTCCCATGCATGTCGGCTACAAACTTTCACTGCTACACTTTACTGACCTTTCAATAAGTGAATTAAAAATATGTTNAGTAATCAGTCAATGATGAACCCCGTTCAAGTAACACAGCAGAACTATGTCTGTTTCTACCTTCCTTCATCTGGACCACCAAACGCTCATGGAACTGAAGCGTTTAATTAGGTTTATTACGCCTATGCGTTTGTCAGATTCCAGACGCGGAAAGCGTATTACTGCTGCCCGCTGTACACCTTCAGCTCGGCCTTGCCAGGCAAGATAAGAAGCATCGTCCCTCCTCCCCAGAAGTCGCCCGTGAAGACAGACATCCCCGGGCCTGACGAGTGCGGCCGCGTCAAGACGAGGCACGGCAAAGTGACCGGCGGCGACCAAGTCAAGGTGTGGCAGGTTCAGGGAAAACGGCTCCAATAATTCTATAATTGTGTTACTGGAAATTTATTTTGTAGAATTCTTATTGAGAAGATGTTTATGAGTGATTTCGTGAGTTAAAATAATTTAATTAAATACATTATCATGCACTACATTGAATAACTTGACGGCAAAGACTTTTCGATCATAATATTCGTTGAATAAATGCCATTATTTGAATAAATAATCCAATTTTCTTCTTATTAGTGCAATTCAAACATTATTTTCCTTATAAGAATTAAAATATTTATGCCATTTTCTGGTTTTCTCGTTAACTTCACACATCCAGAGGTGATTTAAACCTAGTCCTACTATGGTGCTTTAAATTATTGATGTTTTCTCCGGACTCAATTGACTTTGAGAATCTTTCGTTTCACTATATCGTATCTGACAATTCAAAATTCAAAATACTATTTTGTATCGTATCTTCCAATTCAAAATACCATTTTGGATCGTATCTTCCAATTCAAAATAATATTTTGTATCGTATATTCCAATTCAAAATAATATTTTGTATCGTATCTTCCAATTCAAAATAATATTTTGTATCGTATCTTCCAATTCAAAATACTATTTTGTATCGTATCCTCCGATTCAAAATACTATGTTGTATCGTATCTTACAATTCAAAATACTATTTTGTATCGTATCTTCCAATTCAAAATATTATTTTGCAAGTATATTTGACCGTACAATACAAGGACGGCGACTGGCCGTGGCTGGCAGCGCTGGGTACCCCCGAGTCCGAGACTGGGTTCCGTCTCACCTGCTCAGGCGCGCTCGTCACCAGACGTCACGTCCTGTCCGCCGCGCACTGCTTCTACACTGCAGCGCTCCTAGCGCCGTGAGCCTCAAATATCTTCAAGCTTTTAAATATGAGTATTCACTTAATACTTTAACCATTAAACTGATTCGAATAAAATCTGAACGCAGTTTTTTTATCGTTCACACTTTTTTATAAATTGACAGAAACTGAGACTGCAGGTATGTGCTCCCATTACTTCAAAAAATATGGAATCATTCTATGATAAATAAATTCACACCGATGTCCCTTAACAATCATCAAGGTATTTATTTTTAAAATTCTAGAGCGAAATTGAAACTATATCTCCCTTGTATCGATCATCAAAATATACGCACAAAAATACCTTTAATAGTTTTATTGATTATTTCACTGTGCACAATGGATAAAATTATAATTTGTAACTAATATTTGTATGCAATCGATATAATCCATTTTAAAAAAATAAGTGCTAACAGTTAACATTGAAATTTTGTTCGCATTTATCTGATATTCAATGTCTCTGACGGGAGACATTGAATGAAAGAAGATGCCACTAGAAGAATGTCACAAGAAGTATTTATTTACGAATTAAAGAAAATATATTTTTTAACGATATCGCCCGATCGCATGCATTGTTCTCCCCTTTAAATCATTTTTGTGTTTCTCGAAAAATTCCAAAACGTGAACAAAATTTAGTTATAACTAAATGTAAGGAAGGAAGCATGCGATGATAACATATAAACGATTGGAATGAAAGTGTAATGTTAACGTGTGGGCAAATATCATTCAGGTAAAAGATTGAAAAAAGCATATTCATTTTAGCAATTTATGAACAGATCGCATGTTCGACTTGGTGACACTGACTTGCGACACAACAGTCTGCCTTTACACCGCGACTATGTCATCATCGCACGCAACTTCCCGCAGTATCACAAGCATATCAGCATCAACGACATCGTAATCCTAACCCTCGATAGAGACGTTCTCTTTGATGGTGAGATTTCTTTCTTTTACGCATCAAGACCTAACGTTTCATCAAATACTTTTAATTGTTCAGATAATTTGTGCTTATTATTTGTATTGAATCAAGTTTCTGTATGGGCTCCAATTTTCTGTGTGTCTTTAAAGAGTGTCAGGGTTTTAAATCTTAACTATTATCATCACTATTTTTCCTGTATGGTAGCGCCGAATTTCGACCTCCGAATTCTCATCATAATAACCTAAAAATTTGCTCAGCTCCTCTGGAAACGGAATTTTGATTTCACATCATAATAACTTCAAAATCTTCAAAATCTACTCTGGAAATGGAATTTTCATGGCGCCAATGCATTGATGTTCTGTAGGTGTTTTGGTTTTTGTAAGTGACAAAGTCAAGTTCAATTTATTACTCATAACCTCTAAAAGATGCTATCATACGGTATTCAGGTAAAACGACATAAAATAATTGAGATTTTTTCATTTATTCGCAATGAGGAATGCATACATCTGTTTCATCAAATACTTTTAATTGTTCAGATAATTTGTGCTTATTATTTGTATCGAATCCAGTCTCTGTATGGGCTCCAATTTTTTATCGTAAAGAGAGTGTCAGGTTTTCAGGAGTCCTACCTATAATTATCACTATTTTTCCTGTAGCGGCGCCGAATTCCGATCTCCAAATTCTTATCATAATAACCTTAAAATTTACTCAGGAACTCTGGAAATAAAACTTTGATGGCACCAATGCATCGGTGTTCTGTAGGTGTTTTTGTTTTTGTGAGTGGCAAAGTCAGTTTCAATTTATTACTCATAATCTCTAAAAGATGCTATAATGTGGAATTCAGATAAAACTACATTAAATCATTGAGATTTTTATAATTATTCGTGATGAAGTACTGCATACATTGTTATTTGCTTAGAGTTTGTGGGGCCAGGCTGTCTGCCATACGACTTGCTACGCTCACCTGCACCTGGAGACAACGTCACGGCCGTGGGCTTCGGCCGGCAATCCAGCAGTGAGTGATCCCAGTGATTTGTTCTAGATTATATTTTACTGATGTGATGTTGCACAAATATTATATAGCATCTAAGCATTGTTTCTTCATCTTCTCAGCGGCTTTGTAGATGAAGGGACGAATGTTAATTCCCTTGAGCAGGCGATTGATGACTGCAGGTAACTGGAGATATTCTTCAAGAAATACTTTTACACTTTTCTCATTTAGATAAGCTTTCGAATATCTGATTTATTTAATGAAATTTTTTAAATTAAACTTGCTGCATGCACCTTCACTCTAATATAGAAAAAAACTGGCGTTGTAGTGACGTGATTATCAAAATTTATATCCCCAATGAATTTTAACCATTATGACTTTTTTCCTGATTCCTGAGGTTGGCCTTCTCTAGACTATGGCCTTTGTCTGTGCATCACTATATTCGTTAACCCCGAGATATACCTCTTAATTGTTTTCATATCATTTCAATTTTCGCACAAAATCTTCTGATTTTGTTTTCTTTCTCTCTTATCTATAACCTCCTATTACTAAACATTCATCTATAAGATTGTTTTTATCTTTGACTAAATGACTATCAAAAAGGTTAATGATTTCCCAATTTCTGTCCTGAGCTGTTTTCGTGTTAATTTATTTTACTCGTGATATTCAGGATTCCCCTTGACATCATCTTCCCCCAACGCGATTGAGCTGCGCGTGCTTGAGAACTCCTTCTGCCAGCAAGCGTATTACTCATCGCGGTCCTTCCCTGTGATCGACCACCGCACCTTTTGTGCCGGCGGCAGACCAGACCAAGGAACGTGCGAAGTGAGTACATGCTTTACAGGCCTCGTACCCGACGTACATTCGAATGTTACTCTCACAAGCAGTCTCGCTGTAGAAACCTCGATTGAGCATCATATTCATCATCGTCACGATTCTTTCAAAGTTGTATTACAGTCTTGAAACGAGAATTCGATCAATGCTGGGAGAATATTTTCCCATTTTAACTTTATAATGGATTGATTTGTCCTCAGGAAGGTATAAATAAATTTTGTATTTTATCTGAAATAAGTCATTAAATATGTCATGAATGCATGTGTAGTCTTGAAACACTTACAACGCTTACGTTATTGGCTAACACAATCCCGATTGCCCTGCACGACTAGGGCGACAGTGGAGGACCGCTTCACATGTACGACGCGGCGCTAGATCGTCACGTGGTCGTGGGGCTGGTGAAGGGCGGCGGCGGTTGTGGCGTCGCTGATTTGCCGTCCGTCAACACGCGCCTTGTGCCCTTCTTGCCCTGGATAGAAACTGTCATCAAGCAACGGAACAAAGTTCAGCAGTGACAGAATATGAGAATAAGTAAAAATATTTACTTTTTTGTTTTTTTTTGTGAAAAATTACAGTAAAAATGCATTTAAGTTTACCAGGAGTGTTAAAAAATATACGAAATTAGTGAAAACACTTCGAACATTGTGATTGGAAATAGCAAATCTACAAGATTAATCATAGGTGATTGCCCTGGGACTCTCCGGACAAAAAGATGGATGAGGTCATTGAGATTATAATTTGACCATTCGTTATATTGATAGAGAAGGTATTGGTACTAAATTTTATATCTGACTTGGGTAAACGATTAATTGCAACTGGCGTGCATAAATAATCATGTAGTTCTTCAAAAATAGAATGACTGTTTTTTAAACGGAAAATTAAGTTTTACATGGTAACATTTTTTCACCATAAATAACATAATAATTCAAAACCTTACTTCAAGTCTTTGTGCTCAATTCGATGATTAGCATGTGCATCGTCACTGATGCCGCTTCATAATTTGGTAAACATCAGATAAACTTTCTAATTTTTTTCTTAAGCAAAGTCAAATCAGCCTTCGCATAAGTTCCGAAAACAAGGTTAAGTTCTTCCATCATTCGTGGGTCCGAAAATAAACCAAAATAAATAAATAAAATAAACATTTCATTCTTTAAACTTTCAATAATAAAAAAAATTAGTTTGACCTTTTAAATCCATGAGCGTCTTGCAGCCCCGACATTCCAACAGAATTGTTGTGCAGTCAACTGCTTTTTATTGTGAAAAACTTTCGCCGAATAATAAGTAACCACGAATTTCTAACAACTAGCCCTTTCATCATCACTGAGAACTTTTGATGATATAAGGTGACATTACGTATGGTATTTGTAGATTTCAAGTTCGAATTATTCCTGCACGAATGACTGGCATGCTCGTAAGAGTCGTTCAACTTCAACCATCCTTTTAATTGTGTAACGCCTATTGCTGTAAGAAATAATAACTCTAAGTAGATATGAGGATATTTGATATCCCCTCATTAAACCCGTAAAGAGCCTCGAAGCACTTCGAAGTTTACGTAGACGAATGTTTTTTTTATATCAGTAATATTTAAGAGAAAATCATTTTCGTTTCCGATCACATATATAATATAAAATCATATAATATTCGATGTCTGAAGTCTAAAACGAAACTTAGCGATCCCAAAACACTTGGGTGATAACATTCATCCCGAAGCAATCAAAGTGAATATTTTATTATGGCATCCTGTTGCAGTTTCCCATTAATTTTTAGCGCATTTTCTCATTTATGGAAAAAAGCGCTTGTCCGTCCATCCGTCCGTCCGTGACTTCACATTTTCGTCGACGAGAAAATGCGCTCTCTGTCACTCTGCAGTGACCACTGAGTTATATTTTTCTTTAACTTCACAAGTATTCTCTGGAGAAATAAAAACAGATCAGTATACAATTGATTGTTCTGCCTCTCTTATTTCTTCAAAGTTTTCCGCCGTAAAATCGATACGCTCAAGATTATCTGAGTTTGAAATGAAACACAGAGTTCAGCTTATACATGCAGCTTGAGGCATGTTGACAGAAGCATGACCCGCTACAACAATTAACTCCTGCAGTGAAAAATTTCGTGCGCTGGAAAACGGGCTTCAATGATGCGGACTCAAATTATAGCGTAATCTTGAGAAGTTGAGAGAAGCTTGACAACGACAGCCGCTAAATGTGTGGCAGCAAATGTCCCTGGCGATGGTTGCCGTCATTCAGGCATATTGGTAAAGTTTTGTAATTAGCAACGTAGGGAGAGGACCGGCACCTCGGCGCGACAAGCCGACATCTGGGGCCACATTGTACCACAGATGGCGCGCCGAGACCGACTAAATATTGCCTTGCACGGGACAAGCTTTGTTTCGGGCCTGCCTTAACGCCAATAATGAACTTGGTCTTTTTTTAATATTGGTTGGGGCTGAGATTCGTTGCGTTCAGGCATGTTTATAGTTCAGTGATTGTTGAGAGACGAGGGGGACCAAAAATTGACGTCTTGCTAAGCAAACCGCGTCGTGCGTGGCTTTCTTCATGCAGAGGTCTGCTACGCTTCCTTCAAGGGAATCCAAACAGGTTGGGGTTTATTGTAACATTCTTTAAAGAGCAGCGATATTTTTGAGATCGATATTATTGAGATCGAACTGTGAGCAATTTCAACTGAATAAAATGTTTTGAACAGTGCAATTTTAACTGTAAACTGTTCTAACATAAACTGGTAAATTACTGAATGCATATTTTCGAATAGCAGAAATTTTTCCCTTGCAGCAGAAATTTTCTCCCTTTTCCCTTGTCTCTTGCAGAACACGCAATTATTATATATCCAACATTTCTTCATTTTCTCACGTCAGAAAATACTTTTATATTCCTACAAAGCTGGTCTAAAATTAAATTATTCTCACGTGTCCTTCCAGTAAGAAGACACGGTTTTCCAATCTCGGCGAGCATTCCAAGCGAGGCTGAGCAGTTCTAACCGTAAATTAGTGATACGCACGCAGATGATAGAAACGGAGGCCCCGTCAAAAAAGTTTCCGACAATCGTCCTCCATATACTTACCTTCGAGGGAAATTCAGGCGTCACAATCAGTTTGTTGGAAACTTTTGATCTGATCTACTTTATGTTCCTCCGAGTCCATGGAGTAGGAGGTCTGGACTGGAAGTCTGTTGTTGATACGGTTGTTCGTCTATATGAGCCTGTGCAGTGTGCACGTATTTCAGTATTGTTCAACCTTTCGGAAGATTACATGCTCTTCAATTATGCTGCAATAATATCTTTTCATGGTGATGCTTACGATCAGATATTTTTAAACATTCACGTATGTAGCAGTGCAGTTCACCATTTCACCCTTCTAAACTACCAAACTGAAGTGCGGAGCAGCCTAATTTTATAATTTCTGGATTATTCGTAAGATCTCCCATGCACGTATCGAGACACACTTTGAAGTTTATTCTTCTTCCTTTTTTGTAAATTTAACCCTTTAACCTACCTAAGTAGAAGTAACCTCTTTGCTTTTACTGCAATTACTGCAGTCATTGTAAACCGAATTCATTGAGTGTAATTATACTCACAAAAATAGAGATGTTCTGCTCGGACTATAATATTGGAGTGACTGTTATGAGAATTTAAGATTTACTTTATAAATGTATAATTTCCCTATCCTGAAGGAAAACTGAATGTTTACTCAAACCTGTTTAAAATGAAAGTTTAAGATGATAATTGCAGACTATTAAAGGACTTCTGAAAAAGTATCACTATTATTAAGTGAGAGTTAATATTGTAGCATTAAAGCGCGTGTATATTTGCTGAATTATCGACGATTATCTTTGTTGTATTCACGGCGTGGGAGTGCTTTTGGAATTTTAATCTTTACAAGATCATTGGCATCAATATACAAGTTTTTAAATTGCACAGCAATTTTGTACTGGAGTAGTTATGTAGTATGAGTTGTTGTTCAACGTATACTAATTGAAAAGCCACGTCTGTCCAAAAATGTAACCTTAGCTGTGCAACGCATCTAACGACTGCCTGTTCCGCTACATCACTCGCCGACCTAACGAGACATGTATCCGTGTAACGCTAGGTGGTTATATCAGCGTATACAATGACTCAGAGAGTCACGTTATCTCAGGTGCTTCCAGCGCTAAATTGTACAGCTTGGTAATGGGCTCATCGTTGTCTTTCTATGTTCCCTTCGCTGCTGTTTAACCTCATTCAGAATTTGGCACCCAGTTATTCGTGCACTTGACGTTAATTTCATGTCAGGGTGAAAATGCTATTTGAGGGACATCTTTGAAGGAATAAAATCCTTGATTATATTTTATGACCTGAGAAATATATTTTCCAGCGATATTAATATTTTTCAAAGTCAGCGCTTCAATTCCGGCAACAACTTGCCTCTGATGCCCCTGAGGAAAAACATAATAACGTAATTGCGCTGCGGTCTGACTCGTAATTTGGAGTAAAGAGATGGGGTCTCATAGATCTATAATTGAGAAAAACTTGAAAGATCTACATGGGCATAGACGTTTCCAAAAAGTTTCAAGGAAGGCTTTTCGTACGTTTTCTTTAAGGTTTTCTCTAGGTGAATCCATTATTTGAATCATGCAAGAATTTCCAGAGTACAAAGAATCAGAACTTTTCAATCAGACGTTTCAAATCAAGTTTCCATTTCTATCGCTTTGGTTACAATTACAATTTCTTCTTTTCACTGCATGTCTTCCACTTCAAACATTCCTGTCATAGGTTTCTAGGATGTTACTTAATTAATTAGAACATAGCACCAAAATGCCATCTTATATGACATGCCAACAAATAATTCATAACTTAATGAGACGCCTACGTAGGAACTCTACATGCGCCTCGACATCGGCCAGTAGCTCGTCGCATGCTGAGGCCTCTACACGCATATCAACTCAAGCTTAACTTGTCAAATCCCCACAACAAAGCTGCGTCGTCAGGCTCCTCATTTCATCACATGGATGTCGTACCGGCTCTGTAGCCCCGTAGAATATTCCTCCTAGTTTGAAACTATTCATTAATACATCGCGTCGTGCTAAGAGGACCTCGTCAAGTACAACGCATTGCAATGATACTGGTAACATTTACACTTAATTTTGATTTCATCTAGTTTGATAATAGCATTTATTTGAAAATTTTCCCATAGTTCTCATAATAACTTGCAGCTAAATGACCAAACTTATAATGGTATATATTATATTAATAATAATCATTGGACAATTAAGGGGCTCCAGAATAACAAACGTTTTATCAGACATAATTTCGTGAATCTATCTCATACTGTATTTCGTTAGTAAATTTGCCACTAAGACCATTAGAGCTAAGTGGCTCGCATAGCAAATAAATTATAAATTGTTTGCAGGTTCACAGGACAATATGGCTACCAAATTCATAACATTTCAAATTCATAATAATCATTGAATTGAGTTCTGCATATGAACATATGTTCCAACAGCCGCAATATTTTAAATTGACCTCAGCTGTCACTTT